TTCGCCTTTTCCGCAAAGCAATAACTCGAGAAAGAGTCAGTGAAATGATATGGTATATTGTCGTAGTATACTCCTGTTAAGGCTATTTAGGATCGCCTCATAGGATGTAAAGGATTTTCTGAGGTCAGACTTAACCACGATGCGCCGTCTGCTGTTCCTGACATAGTTGAGAAATAATACCAGAAGACTGGAGCAAATTCTGCTTTCAACTTCTAAGAATGATGACAGGATATACTATGATCGTTATCGAAGAATCTACGAGACGTCTCAGCAAAAATTTTTGCTTCTCTTTCATTCAATATACTTATGGGACAGCATGATGCGTCCTAATCAAGCTGGATTTAGATCCAGGCGCTGTGACCAAATATTTACGTTAAGAAGTGTTGGAACATCGCTTCAAATATCTGCAAACCACCGTCACTTGCTTTATCGATTTTGCAGTTGCCTTCGATTCAATTGATAGAGCAGCACTCAGAAAAGTGATGGAATGTAATGCTGTCCCAGGGAAGACCATTCGGCCCATAAAGGCATTTTACCAGCAAATCTTGGCACAGATCTGTGTCTATGGGGAACTGACAGACTCTTATGAAATAAAAACTGGGATCCATCAAGGATGCATCCTTTCTCCTACAATATTCAACTATGTTATAGAATGTATAATGGGCATCGCTTGTTGGCACTCAAGAAATGTACAAATTAGTCCAGAGTATAGCATTACAGCATTACAGAATACGTTGATCTAGTCCTTTTTGCTGACAGTTATGATGAAATGCAAATAATGCTGTCGTTAATAAACCAAAGCGCGAAATATGGGTCAATTCCTATGATGGACAACGAAAAACGTCAGCGTATTCAAAGTCTGTGCTCTGGACTGATTTACACATCTCCTGAGAGCCGACAAGCGATGTCTGTTACCCTATTTGACGCATAGTTGAATACTATAGGGGAAAGAACAAAACCTTATCAGTTCTTTTAAAAGAATCTGTTAGTTTCCCTATATACATCTACAAGTCCGTGCCGATGCATGATGATAAAAATGCATTTATAAGTCGAATGATCTTCTCTGGAAATCGTCGCTTTCCATTACCCTCTAGGACGCCGATCTATCAATTAAATCGACAACATAATCGATAAAACACTTTGCAGTGGGTTGCAGATATTTGAATCGATGTTCTCATTGAGGTGCTTCAATAATTCGGTTTGAAATGCGCTCATTCTTCCCGAAATCTCACAGTTCGCAATGAATCGTATAATTCTTCATTTAATCGTAATTATATTCTGATTTGTCTGGCTAATCTTATAATATTCTTTAGTTTCTTGACGATAGAATTATACGAATCTCTGGCACCACCTGAATTTAATCTTCAGCTCATGGCATATTTTATGGCATTCCATAAAGTATTCAAAAAATTCTTTTATATGTGAATTGGCTATTAAACTGGCTAATTAAGTTATCAGCGAAATGTTAGATTTTTCTAATACTTACAAAAAGTAGAAATTTACTGTGAAATCGATTCGTTAAATATGATACTAATGATGGATTATATAACAATTAATCGAACAATCCGATTTTTTTCAATTAGATCAGTAGATTGAGTAAAATTATTGATGTGAATATAAGAATAATTAACCACTGGAAAGGATTCTTTATTAAACCGATTAATTTCAAATCTTCTTAAATTTGCTTCCATTAATCTTAATTCTTTAGAAAATTTGATATTAGAATCGCCGAAATTTAATATCGTTAAAACCAAATTCATGCTCTGAATTACGCAAGTCGGTTCTATTATTGAAAATAGAGAAAAATACGAAAGAAAATGAATGGCAAGTAGGATGCATCAAATTTACAGAAATAGTACTATTATTATTGAAAGAAAAAGTAAGTAATCAGCAATATTTTACTAATAACAGCGAAATGGAGACTAAATTATACAATAGTATTATATAATAGAACAGTTAAGTCTCATTCATCCATTCTTTTTTCTTTTTCTAATAATATAAATGGTAGCTTCTTGTTTCAAATGCATTTACTGATTACTAGAGTAAGATATTTTAGCTGAAAAGTCATTTGGGAATAGAGATAGAAATGATCTTTAACATAATCCAACGAGATAGGTTTTTAATAGGGGGCTTACTTACATCAAGAGATAGATGTCGGACAAATTATTTCAGTCGAAGGAGCAAACCACTCCGTTCTTTTCTTTGAATCGTTTCTTTGTACTGTTCAATTCTATCCCAACATTCATAGCGCTGACAGGTTAACTTTTTTTAAATTCAATTTATTTACAAAAATCAATCTGAATACGAAGAAACTTCAAATTGGTTTTGAGATATAATTAATAAATACTATATAATTAATAAATACATCGAAGTTAAAGCACTTATAGCACATAGCTTTCTATTAATTCTATTCATCTCATTGGGTTTAACTAATTTGGATACTTCTGATTGCCATATCTTTTAAGCCATTGTTTCTTTCTAAGGAAAGTTTAATTTACTTGTAGCGTTCTTCGCTAGCACCCACCTAGATTATTCTTTATTTGCTGTAATCCATTCGTTAATGACAGTTAGTATATAATTTAGTTACTAATGCTGATATCGTCCAGCAAATTTTAAATTCTTCTTCAAAAGGAAGAGATGATAACGTTAAAGGATTTACGCCAGCAGAATAGAAGTAAATGGAAGATTAACAGGATGGAAAAGATAATTTAAAAAAGGACCAGATATAATATCATTCGATAGAGTCGATATTCACTTTTTTTAATGTTTATTTTTTTATTTTATTATTTGTTTCTTATTTATTAAAGATAGAATTATTGAGAATTTTTTCAGAGTTATCGCGAAATGCCATTCTTCCTTTTTTTTCGCTTGTAAAATCATATTTTTGTTGTAGAAAAACGGTAAAATAAATTATCAGAAGAGTTATTGAATTTCTTTAAAAAACTAATTTCGCCATTCGTTGCCAGCTTCATCATCACATATTTCGTTTGATATTTTTCTCGTTCATTCATGAAATGAATGAATCGCAAAAGAAATGAAAAAAATTTTTTCGTGGATTTTTATCATTTAAATGCTTGAAAATTATACTTAATCATTTATCATCAAAATTTTGTCATTTATCATCAAAAGTAATTCAAGAAAAGTGAAAATTCTGAATATGAAAAATATGAAAATTTATACTTGAATATTTATACTTGAAATTTAAACTGAAGTTACATTAGCCGACTGTCTAAAAAGTTAAATAGAAATGTGGATGGGCAACTGAAATTGTTCGGTTTTTACTTTTAGTGCAGATTTAATTTGCAAAAGAACAAAAATCGAGCCTGGCTTAATGGCTGGACAGAAGCACCTTATTCCTTTTTGAAATAAATTAATGAAATGAAATAAAATTCTCATTTTCTTCATTCTTATAACCTTTTGCTAATTAATTTTATATATATAAAAAAGTTGCATTTTTCACTGCTTTTGATACTTTTATTAAATTAGGGAAAAAAGCGATTGCGATAACGAAATGAAATGAAACCATCGACCATTAAGACGCATTTCATTTTTAATGATAAATATAAATATTTGTATTTATTTTTTTTATACAAATAATTATTTATTTTAATCTGTAGGATTGAAAAAGATAATAGTTTTAAATTCGATGATAATCTAAAGGGTTTCCATTATCTAATCCATCAATTTTTTTAATCATAATCACAATTCCTTGTTTGGTTAGTTCCACTGACCAGTAGAATGAGGATCCTTCATCGGGATTCAAGAGATCGGGATTCATGGTGGATAGAAGTACCAGTGGGTCCCTAATCATTCGGATATCACCAACATAACACCAATTATTATTCGGTAGGACCGATTCTGAAATATTTAATTAGATTTGAAGTTCCAGAGAAGCGATAAAATTTTTGTTTTAAAAATTTGTGAAAATTAACTCAAAAGATGCAAGAAGTGAGAGAAAAATTAAACTTATCATCCAATTTTGGGAAATTTCGTAATATTTTTGCGGTTTTTTGCTTATAATTAACACTTTGGTATTTCATTTTATATAAAACAAGATTCACAATAAGTTTTTTACGATGAGATTCTGCTGCATAATTTTTCATCACCATCATTAAAACGTAATTTTTTATGCATAGATCTGATTAATGTGTTTTGAAGATAAATAGAGAGTGGTTATTATTCAGAATTATTATCGAAAAATTATTTTTATACATGGTTTCGAAAGTTTTAATTGATCCGGCAGGAGTAAATATCATCAATCCAAGCGGTCCTAGGCACCAATCTTTACTTCAGTCTCTAAGTAATTCTCTGAAAAAAGTCTCATGTATCAGTTAGTGGAAACAGCCAAACCAAAAATGTAGTTGATTAGCGCTTATCATTTCTGGTTAGGCTTGCCCTGTTGGCTATCAATACAAAATTTTAGAAATTTTTGCTGGAATCACTTAACGGTCACATTATTTCTATAATTGGCAGTTGTACTTATAATCTGGATCCACTTGGTCATCCTGTCCCTGTGTAGAATGCTATTAGATGAAGAAGAAATATTATCAAATAAAATTGATTGGCTCACATTTCAAGTTTATTTTTTTTTTTTGCTAAACGTTTTTAAAGATAAATTCTAATGGAAAATTACGCACTTATTGTTAAAATCTTATATTTCTATATTTCTATATTAAATCTTATATTTCTAATGGTTTATTGTGGTAGCATGAATGAAGTTATTTAATTAATGGTTGTAGAAATAATGTGACCGGTTTTTTTTTTCCTTTTATTATTCCGTTTGTTAGGTGCTTCGCTATTATCATCGCTTTTGTCAATTTGTCTCGATCGTGATTCGTTAATGATTTAATTTGTTGTTATGATAATGATTTTGATAATTCTTCACTCATCCTTGTTGGACTGCGATTGTTTTGCTAGATTATGAAGATTATCAACCATGGGATGATTTATAAAATAAATTTATTAATGATTTAAATTTTAGGTTATTTAATTGAGAAACAATGACCTTGCATATTCCAGTAAAAGTTCATACATTATCTAATCACTTAAGTCGTCAAGACCGACTGCGTATCTCAACAACTGATAAACGATTTAGGAATCGCAGTCTATGCAGTATGCTTTATACACCACCACCATATCCAGGTTATTCTAGCGTATTATCCAGTATACGAAAATCAAATGATGCAGCACTTTCCACTCCAAATCCTTTGAGGAATACTTCGAACCGCGTTTGCACATATCACATATTATATCCAGAGAACACATCGAGCAAACTTTCAGCATTGGATTTCGATACTTCATTAGTTGATGATACCAAGGTAAAAGAATTTCTTTTTAGTCATCCACATATTTGGCTGATTCACTTATTAATATGGTGAGAAGTAATATGGCCCCTCGTAGAATTGGAGATTGAATTGAAACTGCCACCCAAATTTCAAGTTCCCATTGTGATATAAGATGCATACCTGTCGTTTAGTCGCAGCACATTCGATTGTCATTCCCATAGACGAGTTAATTTACAAGATATTAAATTCCATGAATTGTAGCTTATTGAGCTTTGCTCGACAAATCCGAGAAAGACAACGCCAGCTTCAAAAGAATCATCAGGCTATGGATCGGTTAGTTCAGAGTCTGATCCAGAAAATGATCAAGTTAGTCTATTTATTTTTAGTTTTATCTCTTTATTTTTTCTATTCGTATAGCGAATTTTAATATTACAATATTTAAATTCTTCTATTTTTTTCTTTAATATCTTTTACAGAGAGTTAAGGTTAAATGATCGTTTAGATTTTTTCTTCTTTTTCTTCTTCTTTTCCCACAATCAAAAACAATCTTACAAAAAGATTTTAAGTATTTTATTTTTTATGATTATTTAACGATTAACTCACTGAACATTTTGACGAAAATTTCGATGACCCTTTCTTGATTGGCATTCAATTTTTTTATCGTTCTCGAAAAATAATTTTAAAAAATTGAATAAGAATTTCAATCCTTTTTTTAACTAACCGACTAGCCAATTTTTAATTAGATGAAAGGGAAGATTTATCCGTAATTTAAGGAAGCAAAAGAGGTTTTTTTCTTACCATTGGGTATGTCCAATTTGAAGCTGCTTCGATTATTCATTTAAGCTTAGAGAAGTGGTGGACAGGCAAAGATGAGTTTTCCCGAAAACAATATATTCATTCACATGAAATATAAAAAATTTTCTTAATTTTTCATTAATTATTAATGAAGCTACCAGAATTTTTTAAAAGAAAATATATTGGCAAAAAATTTTTTGGTTAAAAGTTTATTTATTTAGAGGAACCGGATTTTTAAATAATTTTTAATTATATTTCGTAGAATAACAAACTTTTTACTTTTTCTCAATTCTTAACATTAAATTTTAAGCCAAATGGAGAAATTTCGAATTTGGATGAAGAAAAAATTCTTTAATGACCTCTAATTTTTCCTCTAATTCTTTAATTCTTAACCTCTTTTATTTTTAACCTCTAATTCTTTTCTTCTGTTGTTCTGTTGAGTATAGATAACAGCAGTAGTACAAGCAGTACCTATGACTTTATCACCAATAGACATCAAAGAAAAAGGCGTCAAAGACATGTTTAATTTTTTCGCTACACTTTAATATATTTTATTTAATTCGTTTAGTAACTATTATATTTAAAACTATTATTCGAAGATGAAGTTCATAGGAATTTTGACCGCCAAAGCAATCCATGGTATGAAAAATTTAAAGGTCCAGAAGAAGCTTAAAAAAACCATTTAGTATAAAATTATTTCAACTATCTATTATGGCCTTATAGCGGACACATTAAGCCTTTTTCCTATGAAATTATCCTTTTAAACTTTCGTTTTCGTAAATGGTTCTATCTTTGATAATACATTCGGTTATGCATGTCATCATAGATAATTCTATTTTTTTTTGTTAAATCACTGAATCGCTTTTTAAAATCAAATCTTTGAAATGAATTTCTGTCGAAAAACTGATTTTTTTCCAACTAATTTTTTTCACTATTAAAATTTAAGGGAAATTAATTATTTTAAATGAGCATAATTAGCCATAAGGACAAATTAAAAATTTATACATCTTTGAAATGCAAAAATTTTAGCATGCAGTTGAAGATGAAACCAATGAAAATAAACGATCGTTAGGGATAACGCCAGAGAATTCGAAAGTTTGTCACAAGAGTTCTAAGGTTAATTTTGCAGAAAAGCTTCTTTATGTAATCCTAAGTTGAGGCCATTTATTCATGCAAAAAGGGAGAAGACAGTTGAGGTGCTATTTGCTAAATCATCTTGGGAGGCAAGGGTTCAATTTTCAGCGAAGTACTTGAGATTCAAAATCAATGCCGGAGACCTATCTGTATATCTAATCAAGTGACTACATAAGTCAAAATTTTTGATCATTTCTAACCAAAAATGGGTTAACCAATTACCTATAATTTAGATAAACCATTTTTTCCTATGATTAAAAAAAATGGATTTTATGTGGTTTATACAGGTAAAGCAAAAGAAGTAGGGCAAAAAATTTCGTAATTGAATTGAGTTTTCTTCAGCTAGAAAAAGGTCGAAGAAAAAGCGTTCCTTCTTATCTTCGAGAAACTTTTTCAGGTTTTTCTTTTATATTTTAATAAAAAGGTGAAATAAAACAAAATTATTAGGTTTTATTGCAAATGAGGGCATGAAAGTGGGTTTGGCAAGTATGTTCTTTCGACTGAGACCCAGTACCATGGGTTCAAATCCTTAATAGCATTAATCCTTTCCACTAAAAATAATATCTGGATGAAATCTGTTGGAGATCCATCTATGCTTCTACGCTCTCTTTGTCAAAGGAATCTTAATAGACCAGAGAGCCAACCAAATTAGAAATGACAAATATTCTTATGAGAAGAAACAAATTTTAAATCGATATATTCATTTAATTCGGTTTTTTGGTGTAATAGTCATTAAAAACTAATAAAATTTTTTTCAAAACATTTTAAAATTCAACTATCACTTATGATTCAATTGCTTTGAACTGAAAATAACTGTTGAAAGAATTTGGGAAAGTGGATACGTTTTTGTTTTTGTAAATGTTTTTTTTTCAGACGAAATTTTTCGAATTTTAGAAATTGGAGGCATTATTCAATATGAAACTGACGTGGTTAGTATTTTCGATTCCTTCGGTCAAAGTTCTTGAGATTTAATAAACCGAATAAACAGATTAACCGGATGGATAATGACTTATTACTGTGTTGAGAGGCAAGATTTTGGATCTTATCTTCAGCAGTAGAACAGAAGATGTCGAAAATCTCAATTCCGAGAATATCGACTACTGGTAATCCAACTGTAATTTTAACTCCCAAGGCAAGAGTTCCTGGCAAAATTTTAAACCATATTGATGGTCCAGTGGAATAAACCTAACAGGAATTGATGAGCGCTAATCACTTTCTTCCTTAAGTTTAATAAATATTTTCCATAATTTTTTTAATTAAATTTTTTACAATGTTTCTTATAAACTGGTTCTGTATCATTCATTTAGAATCAGAATTCATCTTTTCATTATTGCATTTTTAGACAAACTCATTTCTTTCGATCACTTTTAACTGTTTAATAGATTCAAATCATTTTTTAATTTTTTTAATTGATAATTTCCAATCGAATATTTTTCGAAAGTTTTTGCAAAAAAACAAAAATATTAATAAAAGAAGTGGTTCACTATTTCTTGCTCCACTCCATTATGGTTGTGGACATTGGCGATCACTGGAGTACAAGTGAGTCGTCAGCGTTATTTGAAAACCCTAGCGGAACCAGTGACTCTTACTGGTCTGCGTCTTTTTATCAATAAAATATTGCTAAAAAGAAGAAAGGAAAGTAATAGCCGAGTGTGGTTTTTGCTAAGAATATTGGCTATTATAACTGTTATTGCTAATCATTTTGAGCATCACGACCTCCACTTCTCCTATTTCTACCAGGAACAAGCCAAACCAGCTATTAAGAAATTTGGGTGATGCTGGGTCACCTGCATCATCCGCCTCCTTTAAACAAGTTCAAAACAAAAAATCTTGACCTGCAAATAACTAATAAAACGAGACAAACCCAGAAATGGTGGGCGCTGCCCCTTTCTTTAATTTATCTATTATGAATGACAAATCTTGTTATTACATTGTAACGTTCTTTTTTTTAAACCAAATATTTTAAGCTTAGTTGGCTGATTTTGAGAACGCTTTTTTCCCTTTATTTCCACTACAATTATTATTGGCTTTTAACTGATTGTAAATGGTTAGTTAATTGTTCATTATTACGGTGAATAGGTTTCATATAAGCTTTCAAGAAAAATTATGCATAGATTAAAAAATCAGGATCCTCAACGGTATAAAATCACGATATCACATTCGTGCTATCTGGAAATTGATCAAATTATTTTTCTGTATTTTTGTTAATATAGCTAAAATTATTAGATTATTTTACTGAAAATTAGTCCTAGAAGATGCGAGTGGTTTGTTGCTATAACTAAAGCCAAGAGTTCGTTAGGTCTCTTGATTGGAATAAACCTGGCATTATATATGAACTCCAGCTGGCTTTGAAGATTAAGCTGTATTTCCATTCCTAAATGATTGCCTGAAAGCTTTATTCTGCTGTGAACCGGAAATGACAAATATTATTAGAATATGATGATGGCTAATACCAATTTTTATTTATTATTCACAAATAAAGATTAAGTAAACGAAAAAAATTTTATATTCATTATCACCAATAATGTATCGATAATCCATCAAAAAACTATTAAGGCTCAGCAAAAAGATAAAAGTTATTGAGATAATTATATTTATGATTTATTTATAGTTTCCACTAAAGACAGCCTTTTTTTGTGATATCATTATTATCCATCCAGCATTTTTTAAACTTTTCCAATTGATAATTTTCCATTAATAAAATTTTCGACCATTTCGCATCATTTTAATTTATCTTACTTTTTATCAACATATTTTTTTTCACCTTCTGCCAAATTTCCTTTTTTTATCTTCAATAGGAATAAGCTTGTCATTTTCAAAAATCGGTTTTCATCCTTTCGCGCTATTTCTGCAATTGGCCTTTAACCCTGCTAAAGATGAAAGTTTATACTGCAGAATTCAAATTTTTTAAAAAGAGGTTTTTCAATTTAGCTTTATCCTCATCATTTATGATGAAATCTTTTTTCTTATATTATGATGCTCATAAAACTAATTTGAGAAAAAAATATTAAGAACGACACTTTTTCTTTTTTTACAATTTTGTTAGCCAAATTTCGTTGTAATATTTCTTCATCAGCCAATTGAATTTTCCTAAATTTCCGCAATCTATTCGCTTATGAAAATGATAAATATTATCGATATGTGATCATTTCTCGGATAATTTATTTAAATAAAAAGTAAATTTCCATTTTTTTAATCTTTATTAGATTTATATTTAAGTTATTGATATTTATTTGCGCGTTACAGTAACTTTTCGTACTAATCGTTTCGTAATTTCGTATAACTCCTGAAAAGATAAAAACAACTCGGTTGCCAAAAGTGAGGCGAGTAGGAGAATCTTCTAAGGCATCATCACTCCGGCATTATTGCATATTCCCCAAAAGTAATTCATATTTTACACTGCATCCTGACATTCAATGTCTTATTATCTCATTTACGAGTAATGTTTCAATAAAATAACCTTCACGGCGCAAACACTTGGCACTTCAAGTTTTAATGAAAGTTTTTCAACAATTTTTTCCGTTTTTTCTTCAACAGTTTCTTTTCATTCTGTTTTTTCGCTTTGTTTTCTTTTGTTACCTTTCCATATATTATTTATCTTTTTATTTATTTCTGAATGGATAAATTTAGGCAATAAAATTTTCTCTCCATTTATTAAAATCCTTCATGCGTTGCTCGGAAGATTCGTTTGGATTTCAAAGATATTATTCAATAAATTATTTCGATAATATTTTTCCTTCATTTTAAGAGTTAATTAAAAATAATGCCTATTTTATCTGCATTTGGCGCAAATTTTATTCATTATTTACTGAATTATTTTCTGACAGCACTCAGAATTACTGATTATTTATTTCGTTATCTTATCTCTACAAACTATTAGGAAAAGACTACATTGCCAGAGAAATTTAAGGACAGAATTAAGACAAAAAAAATATAGGTGGACATTTTGCAAAATTCTCTGGATATTAATCAAACAATTTTTTGTTTTACTTTGTTTCTTATTATCACTTATCAATTACCGTCAATTGTTAGCTACTAATCAGAAAAACCGCCATTAGTATAAATATTTCCACAAAAGTAACAATATTTGATATATTTGTTTAAAATAATATTTCATTTTTAGTTAATAAAAGATGAGATTATAAAAAAAATTGACATTTATCGCAATGTAATTCGATCTTGGAATAAATTTGAGTTTTGATATTTTTATTTTTATGTCTCAAGAATTTTTACTTTTTTTGATCTGTTTCAAATAAACATTAAAGATGAAAATTTAGAGCTTAAGTTCTTTCTCTTATTTCTCTCAGTTTTTTAGCCAAAAAAAGATCCGCTGAAAGCTTAGACTTCGAGCCAATGACCATTTCTTCTGATGATTTTGCTTTTTATATTTTATGATTAAGTTAAGACTCTGGCTTTGTGGAACCCAATGAACCCAATTCGAATTTAAAAATATCCTGCATGCACCATTTTTGAGTAGCTTCATTTACTATTATAGCGAGATTCTTTTCGTCATATGGTAACAGAAATAAATTAGCATTTTCAGCGGCAATTGGATTAGCAGTGTTTTTTCTAGTTCCAAATTTAAATTATTTCTCATAAATCTTAAAATTTCTTAAAATAAAATTTCTGACGATTTTTTTCTAAAATTTAAAAGCGACCGATACAAAAGGAAAATTTTAACTTGAAATTTTTTTCTTCCAGAGTGATCAAAAAGTTGCGATCTTTGTTCAAATGGTAAATTCTCTGCTTTGTTATAAAAAACAATGATTAAATAAAAATAAAAAATAATCCATGATTCTTAAAATTAATAACTCTAGTTAATGAATTTTATTAGGATACTGGTTCAGCGACTCCCGTGGTGAATAGCTGTAGTGTTAATCGACCTGAGTCAGTTTTGCAGTTAGCAAGAAAATTTGCTGAAGCGAGTGCTGCTCAGGTTCGTTCATTTAAATCATTTATCATTTAACATTTAAAATTTCATAGTTCAATCCAAAGCGACTGATGAATTTCATATTAACTTGATGAATAATTTATTTGATGAATAAACTTTTTAAGGAATTAATCGTCCATATTTTTCGTTTAATTGTTCATTAATGCTTAAAGAAATTTTTTTTAATAAACGAGTTTTTTGTTAACCTTTGCTGTTGACCTTTAATGTCTAATGCAGAAAATTCATTCAACAACCTTGAAAACTATGAATTATGTCTCGATTAAATTTATCATCGAAAAAAGAATATTTTTCAGGACAACCGAATTTTTGCAACAAATCGGAAAGTAAGAGAAGCTGGTAAATCACGTAGTGGACCCACTACACCCATCCATCAACGTATAACTTTTTCAACTCTTATTTCCTTTCCTATTTTTCTTATTTCTGTTGTCATAGATTATACAAACCACTATGAAAGTTCTCCCTCGTCCTAAGTGATTTATGCTATTATTTATGGTAAGGCTTACTCTACTGGCTTTAACGGATTGTGCGAAAATATTTTTTCCAGTTATATTGTAATTATCCATAATTTATAGCAAAATCCGAAAAGTAGAAGTTCTATTGAACGAAAATTTATTGAAAAACAAGAAAAGATTTATTGTATAATAATTTATTGTATTATTGTTTAATAATATTGTAATTAGCATAAAAATGAATATTAGTGTTTTAGTCTTTAGTCTTCTTCTGCAGAAAATGATATGATTAGAATTATATATTACTTACCGCAAATAAGTTTTACCAGGGAATCTGGAGAAATTCATGCCCATATATTCTTGGGCAATCCCAAATTCCGATCTCCCAATTTTTTATTGGGAAGTGGTCAATATGATCGATAATTAGTAGCAATAAATGCGCCCCAATGTATTTTGGGCGTTTCGTTTACAAACACTTTGATTTTATTCGATTTGGATGGACTGCCGCAACTGTGGATTTACAAATTGGCGTCAAGCGATCGCCAAAAACGGATCTTATATCCATTTATTTCAGTTTAGCCCACGAATAGTCTAACTATATATTTATGTGTTTAATTTACTTTATATACTTGCTTACTTTTAATTCAATTAATGGAAATTTTATTTATTTACCCTCCATAAATTTTGTTGTCCAGTTAATTTCGGAAGATTTTTAAAAATGTTTTTAGCGTTGGGCATCCAAGGCAATATAATTAAGAAGCCCGGAAGTATCGCCTATTTAAGTAAGTTTATATTCTTTCATTCTTTCAATTTATTAAAAGAACCAAAAAAACCAAAATTCATTTTTTTACCATTCATTATCATTTTAATGATAAACGGGCAATCATAGAATAGCGCATAAAAGCTAATCGAACATTGAATATTTAAAGATTGCGGTCTTATCTATTTTTATATTATCATCTTCAATGCTTATCAATATCTTTAGTAACTTTCTTTTTTCTTTTTTAAAATCACTCACCATTTCTGGTTTGGACAGCTCCATATTATGGCGAAACCCTTATGTCAGCGAGCGACTTAGAGATTAGAAGATGAGTCGCTGGCAGCAACCAGATTTAATTCGAATTGTGCTCCTATCGAAGAATGGGTGCCGTGATGCTAGAACTCGTGATCGAAACAATATGGCACTTGGTCTTTAGAAATCACTTAACTTCTTGCTCGTAGAGCTATTGTTAAAAAATACACAATATACTCATCACACACGAAATTACTTTTCCATTTTAATAATAATATTTTTGCGTTTTCCCTAACAAAATTTTAATATTAAAATTTTAATTTTAATATTAAATTTTGCATCACAATTCCTCGATCTGTTTACTTTCTTTTATTAATAAATTTTATTCATTTTGTTATTATTGAAATCATTACTAAAATTACTGAAGTTTTTCAGCCCGTAAAAATTTTGAATAAATAAATTTTGAATAAATTTTACCACTTATATATTCCTTGGCTAATGGTGTATTTCTTTCTTAGATTCATTAACTTCCAGTTGAATTCAATTGTATATTCTTCTTCTTGGCACTTATAGCACTTGTTTAGTACCAGTATATGGCTTCTTCTTGGTTTTTGTTATCAATTTATCAATTTAACCTAGAACAGTCTCAAAGTAGAAAATTATTAATATATCTTCTATTTTAACTGAAAAAAATTGTTGCTTAGCGAAAAGATTCTTCTCATTTAACGTTGTTGCAACGTCCTTGCTAAATATCTTGGTTATTGTATTATTTTTCGGCGATTTTATTGAACAACTTGTCAGTTTTCTCATAATTACTATTTCTAAATGAAATTCCCATGACGTTCTATTTTTATTCCGAAAGTCTGCCATTTCATTTAATAGATTAAATACATCAGTTGAAAATTTAGCTTATATCAGCTCTTTTCGAATTAATATCCATTGTTTTTCGCATAAATTTGAGTAAATTCATTATTGTGAAAATTTTTTGCTAAGCCATTTGCCATCTAAAGCATTTAAGTGTTGCGTCATATAATTGTCATGCAACATGACAAACGCGTCGGACTTCGTCAATTACGACTTTTTAATAGCCAAATATAATTATTCGAATTATCAAATTATTTTTTTGAATTAATAATAAATAATGAATTAATATAATTATTATAATTATTTATTTGAAATATCTAATATAATTATTTTTACCACATTTTTAAGAATTGAAAGAGATTTGAAAAAATCTTTTTTTTTCATTAGAGAGATTTTTGACGATTCAACTAAAATGGTGCTAGTGGCTTAGTCTGAAAATTTTTAGGAATAATTCCAGTTCTTGGCATATCTCACATTATTTAGTTTAATACAAATGTTCATTCTCTTCATTCATCTCGTCATTACTTAAAGAATTTTTCCAAGATTTATCACACCATTTGTAAGAAATGTATCAAGTGCTACCGCTGTTTATCTCTTATCTTTCGTTAATTATTTTTATCGTTCGTTAAAATTTTAAATCTGAACAAAATATATTTTAATGCTTTTGTTTCATAATTTTTTGGTACAAATGACATTTTTATTCGATTACTTATAATTTATAACAACAAAAGAAGATAGCAAAATTCTGAATGATTTGAGGACATTGTCAACATACGATGGGTAAGCAAAGTTACCTTAGTGGATTGTGCTGATTTTTTTGTATTGTTATTTTCTTTTTCTTCTGATAAAGTCACCATTTCTGATTTAGCTGGTTCTGATGTCTATTAGGACTTTTCAGAACGAATTATTACTTTTTATTTTTAATTTATCTCCCAAATCGAGATTCTCAGCATTGGCGCTCCAAAGTGAACGGCAACCCACTGAGCTGTTCTACCTTCTTTTACTTTCGCAGTTACTGACCGATGAAGCTTGATGTTCGAGCTCGAGTCCATCGGAAATTCTCGGTTCTCTTTGGCAATCACTAAACCACTACCGCTTTACCACTAAACTACCGATGTCACTGCAACAAAATAAAGAAAAAATGTGATAAAATAGATCAAAGCTAATATAAATCTTAAATTCAGTTTTCGAAATTGTTTAAGTCCATATCGTAAAAAAGAAATGAGATTTAATTAATTTCTTTTCTTTTTTATTCTATTGCATTCACTTTTAAAAATATATTTTTTCTTTCTTTAATAATGGATATAAAAATAAATAAGTAAAGAATTCCTAAATTAATTAAAAAACCAGACGTTAAAAAGACGGCAATAAAATACTTGTCATGTTCATTGGCTTTAATTTAATTGTTTTTTTATCTATCTCTGTTTCTGATATAAATAAATAAAATCCGAAGGCTTTTCAATTCCCTATTAGGCATTCATTCCATTTCATATAATAACTATATGTTGATTGGTGCTTAATGAGTAGTCTTCTTTTGCTTAGTTTAATAATAGTGAATTGCTCGAAAATGCTAGAATTTTTTCGCCCGGATTTTGTGCTTATAAAATGATTTTACTAGGGTTTGTGTAATGTGGAGTGGTTATCGGTACTTTTCTGAAAATCCTCATTCTTCATTAAAATCAGTGCCCTGCCATATGAGTTAATGATAATATAATAAAGAACAATTTAAATTTACTAATTTAGCCTTTGTACAAATTTGAATCAAGTAAAATTCTTACATATAATAAATAGTATATAGAATCGGGAAATTTATTAATCCTTCCGAAAATTTGTAGATCTGCATATATATATATATGTATATGGGGATAGAATTGCTCAGTGGGTTGTTGCTCAGTTTGGAGCACTGATGTTGAGGTTCGATTCCCCGCAGAAATAAACAATAAAATTTACGGTAAAAAATCCGATGCTGGCGACTCACCTGTATTTCTATCGCCAAGGGATTCCCTTGCATATTTGTGCAGTGCAACAAGCCATTGGAGCAAGTTTAACCACTAATGATGAGGACTATTTTTTATTTATATTATTATATTATATTATTATTTATATTTTTTATTTATATTCATATATATATATATATATATATACATTTGAAAGTAAAAAGACAATTCTGAAAGTATTTAATTTTATGGTGTCTAATAGTTCCCAGTGATAATCTCTTAAATCATTTGCTTAAATCATTACGATATTGTCATTCAATCAACTATTTTCTCTTCTCAATTTTCCAGTTTTTTTAAATTTATGGTTCCATTATAAATTATCCTTAATAGCATTGTTATTATTATTTTTTAAATAATAATATTTTCTCTATTTTTTTAATTAGCGAAACATGGAATAAAATGTTTTGCATTTTTAAAATATAACTAATTCACTTATTTTTTGGGTCTCAGCCAAATGTCTAAAGCCAACATTTTTAAGCAAAGCGATCAAATTAATAGATCTGGGTAAGTTTGGTTTTCTTTCAAGTATGCATTAATATTATTAATTACTAATTTGTTGTTGAACAATATTATTAATATTAATCAAATAAGATAAGTGATTAGTGCATGGGATTTTTAGTTGGTTATTAGTACAATGAGAAATTTTATAAAAAGGGATAGAAGTGCAGAATGTGTCGATTATTCTTAATTAAGGACCTGATCCAACTCTGGCACTGGAGACAATCTGAGTATAGCCATCCTCCTTACTATTGAATATTGAAAAGGAAATAAATTTGTCGATGTTTCTCCTATTTTATATTATATTTTTTATATTAAAATAAGATCCACTAAATTTATTATTATAGTTTTCCCAACTAGTTCAACAATAATTTTCCGTCAAAATTAGTCAAAAAATGGGAGAATTGTGTGATGTGAATTTTTTGAGTTTCGCTGCTTAAGTTTATTTAAAATTATCGACGTTATACTGCATTAATTTACTGGAGTCACTGAAGTATTATGAAATTTTTTAAAATTTAAAATTTAAATTTAAAAACCATTCGGAAAAACCATGAACAATTTTTTTATAGCTCGAGAAAGTTCTAATAGTTTTTAGCCAATCACAAGTAATGAAATCCTTCAATCCATCATCCATCAAGGATGCTCTTCTACGTTGGTGTCAATACAAACTTAAAAATTATCCGGTTAGTTAGTTGTTTAATAAAGACTATCTTTAATATTTAAGGAGAACTTTATTCGAGGGTTTTATAATGCTTTTTTTCTAAATGTTGATAAGCACGCTCTGGTATCGATTTGGCCTATGACATATTAATCGCAATTATAAATTTGGATTTCACAAAACTTGAGCTGAGTTGAAAAATAGCTTCTGCAAGAAATTTCCGTTGAATATTTCATCATTTCAACTGCTTCCCATATGAGCTTATGGTAAACCTGAAGAATTTGAAATTTAGTCTTTATAAAAGTCGTCATGCCAGTGCATTATTCAAATTCCAGTGTACCACTCGATCCTTCTATTGTACATTGCCTTTATTAAGCGTTATTATCTTCTTACCATTCCAGAATAGCTGCTGCAAATTTATTTTATCGTCATTTGTTGACATTTAGGCAACATTTCCTGCTGCTATTGGAAGAGTTGGTTTTAATTCTAATAATAACTTTTTGTATAATTGGTTTCGTTATTAGCATAGTAAGATAAGATAAGTTAATCAGTTATGAAAACCTATATACTTTATGCGATTGCTATTTATCCTACAGCTTCAATATTCCATGTTTAGCAATGGCAGAGTAAAATTTTGAGCAAAAGAATTGAATCTGTATCAATGAATCTTATAGGATACAACGAGATTTTAGGTGAATATATCAAACTTTTCCTCATCTTGGGCAGATGGCATGGCATTCTGTGCTTTAATTCATCGATTCGCTCCTGAATCATTCGATTTTAATATGTTGAACCCCAAAAATCGACGAGCCAACTTTGAATTGGCTTTTAAAGTAGCCGAGTAAAAAATTTTTAAATTTTTTTTTAAAAATGCCTATAGTATCTTTTTTATCTTCTCATTTGTTAATAAAAGTTTTAATGATTCCAGGAAACGACTGAATTTCAGAGATCACGGAATAGTTCCTCTTCTTGAAGTCGAAGATATGTTAATAATGGGCGATCGACCTGATTGGAAGTGTGTTTTCACATATGTTCAGACATTTTATAAGGAATTCAAAAATCGGCCATAACTGAAGAGAAATGTTTGGCAGCTTTCACATACGGAGCCAAATAAAGATAGGCGAAGGCTACTTTTTAATTTTTATCGACGCTTTTTACATTTACTGCTGTTAATTTTTTCGCTTTGTTATTTGTTTTGCATCGCATAAAAACTTTTATTTTTGTTTATTTTGGAATAATTTTTCATAATTAAGGAAAATTCAAGTATTCGGAATGATTCGCTTTAATGTTTTTCCTTTTCCTGGAAAATTTTTATTTCATATACAATTTTGTCAGACTGCAAATAATTAGAAAGTCAGCGATTCGAATTAATTAAAACGAATTTGTTTGATGAAAATTTTTTCCAAAATACCAAAATTATTTTCTTACTATTTTCTGTTATTTTTGTTGTTGGAAATTAGACAAATTCATGATGAATTTACCATGGAATAATGAGTGTTTCCGCTTCGGAATGATTCGCTTTAATGTTTTTCCTTTTCCTGGAAAATTTTTATTTCATATACAATTTTGTCAGACTGCATATTTGTTTTTAAATTTTTATTCCACTGTCTCATAAAAATTTGATTAAAAAATCGCATTTTACATCAACAATTAAAGGTTAAAAAATTGATTAACGTTTGCTTATTTATTGTTTTTTTATAGTTTTATATATTTTTAAGGAGAAACACAAAAAACTACTGAGTGTATTTAGATTAATGGCTTCAAGTCTAAGGATTTGTTCACAGCCATATATTTTATATCGATTGAAATTTTTTTTATTGTATTTCTATTATTTAAATATTTTTGAATATTTCAAATTGTTTCAAGAAAATGTTATCGTTGAAAGGAGAGATTTTTTCCTTTCTGCTTTTGCTTTCAGAAATTTTCGGAAGATTTCTCTGGTCAACTAGTTCAGCCTTCGTTCTGTGCTAAGATTTCTCATCTATTTTGCTATTGATTTCGCTTCTCCCAGAAAGTTTTGAAATGTAATATATATTTTATAAATTATGCATGGGATATTTATTTGTCGTTTGTACTTCCGCAAAATCGTTAAACTTTGCGAAACCAATTAAAGCTTTTCTTAAGGAAATGTTGCATTTAATTGTAATTCTAATCAAATTGAAGGAACTACTTATTCAAGGAATTAATGACAAGTAAGTGGTGATCTCTTTTTTTTTCTTTAAGAAATTGTTGAGTTTCGCCAATTTGTGTAAATTAAAATGTATAAAATTAATATTTTTTGGTGGTGATGGCTTATTGGTTGTTACCGTATAATGAAATCAAATGGCATCCATGAAATTAAAGGAGTCGAAAGTTATCGACAAACTAGTAGAAATTCGAAAATAAATGGATGTATCCAAATTTAACGGTTACGATCTGTCACCCTCCTCACCTCTAACATCGTTCACCACTGTCACTCGAACCTTTGTACAATTTTTGTGTTTCTGCTTCTATTTCTTTAATTTAATTTTCATTCTGCCAAATATTTTTTAAATTATTCCTCACATTGAATTGTCCCACAGTCACATTATGCCTAATGTTTCGTCTTAATTGAATCACTGCTAATATATCAGAAAAAATTGCACACTTAGGAATTATTGTGATAATTCTGGATATATTTGTTTTTGTCTTTTTAGCTATTGATTGATACAAATGGAATTGTATGAAAAATTTTTTGTAATATGCAACTTAAAAAATAAATGATTTGTTGTTAATTATCGATGTCTGAATATTGATCTAGAAGAAGGCAGACGCCTCTTTAAATCTTATTATTAAGAAATTCCGATAGAGATTAACTTGGAGGTGGGGGCGGGGGGAGAAGCATAGTTGGATCCGTAGCACCAGCAGGACTTTTATAATACCTTTTTTTAAATAATACTTCTTTTAAATTCTTTCGATGGAGAAGGCCATAGCGCTTCTCGATTTTTGATCAGAACAACATAATTGAACCACATTAACCTATGTGGCTTTCTGAAAACGCTTACCACTTCTGCTTAGGCTCGTTTCATCGTCTTGCCAAATCAGATAAAATTTTCTACTAGATAATCAGATCAGATAAAATATATTATAAAATTTACTAGGTGGTTACTTGGCAAGAAAAGTTTTTTGAATTATTTATTTGTTTTGTTTATTGAAAACCAGCCGAGCAAGGTGATGACGCCACGTGCTTGTATTAATAACAACAGTTAAAAAAAATAAATAATAAAATTTAGTAATAAGGAAAACAGAAAGTATGACAAACAATTGTTTTGCATAGTTTACACATAAATTTTATATTCCTTTCGATCATCTCTTTACTCTTTTTTGAAGTGGACTTCTGAAGGACAGCCCAGCACCCGAAACTAGAACAAGAGGCCCCGTCCACATTCAGTAATAAACTGCTTATTAAAATATTATCCTTACCCACTTCATACAATCCACTATCTAAATGGGAAAATTTTTTAACTGGGGGCAGTTCTTCACTTAATTAATTAATTAATTAATTTATTGCCTTGGCTAACATGATTGAAATTTCTACGAATCCTCATAGACTGTGGATCTTGTCACCAGTTGTGTTCTCATGGCATGGTCATCATATGTGAACCTTTATTGTGATTAGAATCGCTAAGGGAATCGATGCAATATGAATAGCACACACACACACACACATCGGAAAACAATCGATAGCATCACTGTTTCCAGTGTACTGAAACTTGGGACAACCTTGGCAAACGCCAGTACCAATAATTAGGGAAGCGCGTACGCTGTCCCCTAACGCAAAAATTACGCTGTTGGCGAATCCCGACTCGGGAATGCCACACGGGTCAACCTGACCTAAAGTGCAATGGTCAAGCCTCACCATGAAGGCCCCACCTTCTTGATCGTGAGAACCTTCCAGCCAGGTAAGTTTATGATCATTCGGAGAATTCACTACATATATCTGCTATCCCACATTTTAGGCGGTTCACAAAGATTTTTCTTTTCTCGTCAGTCAATTTAGAGATAATGCAAAGTGAAGAGAAGAAGTCATCTATACATACTGTCTCTTTTCCACATATTAAATATACTACCAACGTAAATGTTTTAAATTATTTGATTTTTTATTTTTAAGGCAAAACTCGAAAAACTAAAAAATAAATTCGAATTTGAAATCAATTGAATTTATTTTTCGAAGTAATTTTTATTTGAATAATTTTTTTTAAAATTCTACGTAAAATTCCTTAAATTTTCTGAAGAATTTATATAAAATTTTATTTCGGTTTATTATTTAAATTTTATTTAACCTAAAAATTTAAATGCAAAAATTTGATTATTTGAACTTGGTTCTTTTTAAATTTAAAAATTAAAATCATAAAAGTGAAAGTTTCAGGAAATATAGGCAAATGATTCTGGTTGCACACAGTTCTGGGAACGTACAATGTCTCCTGATAGCAAGAAATGTCAGTCAGAACCCTATAACGTGCGAATCACTATGTATGGCACGGCTCTCACGCTCAAAATTAGCACATGTTTGCCGAATGGGATCATATTTAACCTAAAATAAGTGATATCTTCGTGCGAAGTGAAGAAAGGTTTCTCACATGCTTGCATTCATCTTTGTTCGAATACCATTTGCATTAATAATATCGCCGCAAAGCATCGTTTGTGCTGCTTATGTGCTTCTTCGTCGTCCATTATATGAATTGAAGCACCATCTCGCTATTTCCTAAGTCGGAAGTCGTTAAATGTGTGGACCTACACCAAAAATTTATTCAAACGCGTTCATTGCTGAAATACTTTGATGATACGACAAATGACAATCGGCAGCGGTCTGTTTCATTTTTCTTCTGCTTATTACACTCGCCACTCGCCCTGCTCGGCTGGCTATACTGATTGCTAAGAGGAGATATCTTCTTTACCAAGAAATCAGGTGGAGATAGAAGTGCAAGCGAATCCTGAGCATTTTTTCTATTGCCTAATTTACTCACTATATTTTGCAAGTTTCCCGGAAAACGAAAAAATAAATGATGAGATGGTCATTGTAAAGATTGTAAACCCCATGAAATCAAGTGACAAATAGTCTCCCGTAGTTGAGTCGGACTTCTTAGAGGTCGATATACAAGCAAAGTGCACGCTTTTTTCTAAAATTTCAAAAATTTCAAATTATATTCGTAAAAAATTAGTTCGGCTCCACATTTATGTTCCAAGGGACGTCAAGGCTTCTTTAAATAATATGCCACTATAATTTGTGTTCTCTACCTTTATAAAATTTTATTGATCAGTCTTATAATAGTTATTAAATAAATTTTTAATAGGCAAAACAAGGTAGTTGCAAGCAATTGGGCACCCAAAAACTTTATGTATGAAATTTTTGTCGAATGAAATTTTTAACTTTGCAAAATTTAATTTTTAATTTTCTGAAGTTTAGCTTTAAACATTTTAAAAATACGTTCAATTCTTAATTCTTAAAAACCATAATTTTTTTATTAATTCATATCATATAATATGCAAAGTGTTCGGGAAGAAATTCGAAATATAAAAATATTTCTTTTGCATGGATTAATTTAGGAACAAGAAAAAAGTTGGGAATTCTCGGATTAAGTGGAAGTTACGCGATGGAAGCTCATTTTTACATTTTTCAAACAATTAATCAGTGAAACAATTTTTGTTTTATTTATTTTATATTGTTTATGAACATAAATTCAAATCTGTTGACTGAATAGAATGCACTGGATTGAGGCAAATTATCACAGACTGGCGATGAGCAATGTGATATAAAAAGAAAAACTCTTCTTCAAACAAAATCCACCATTTCTAATTCGATTGGTTCCGCTGATTGTCAGGACGAGATAACTTAGCTATTTGGGAAAAGCAATTTGGGAAAACTTTGGGGCGACTACAAGAAGGCTTCTAACGTTATCTCAAGATCAAAGTCTTTATTTGCCCAAATCTGTATTTATGCCCAACTGAGCGGCATGAATTCACTTCTTTCTGAGGCAAAACAACAAAGTGATTATCGATGAACTATTATGGACCTGGTGGTTTGAGACTTCGCCTCTGGCTGCCGTTAAAAATCCGGATGCTTCCGCCTACCCATCTGTATTTTTATCACCATCGAAAATTTAACCGTACATCTACTGGAGCCGCTCTAACCAGAAATAACTAATCATTTATTTTTCTACTTGTCTATTAGTAAATATTTGGTAAAAAAGAAACAAAGCAATGTTATTATGGATGAAATGCATAAATTTCAATTGTCACAAACTGAGGCCTGAAAATCGATCAAATCGAAATATAGCGAAGGCAATTTTTTTCCCCCCTTAACCAAACAGTGAAAAACTTTTATGCCTCATCATCATGGATGAACAGCAAACTTGATCGATGATTTGATGGATGGACGGATGAATCGTTGTTGCTTGCTTACTTCTTCATGCTTTTTGAATCTCTTAATGAACAAATCTCAATCGACATATATGAAGAAGAAGAGAAAAGAAAAATTATCGTTTCGTAATCAATATCATCACGAAGATGCTTTTGCTAAATCATTTTATTCCAAAATATTTTACAAACAAAAATCAAAAAAAAAAGGAATTAAAGGATTAAAAGTGAAAAATTGTATTATGCTTGACCCACAAAATTATTGATAGCAAACTTGCAAATAACATTCATTGGACAAGAAATTATTCGAATAAATCTCAGTAAACTCAAATGCGATTCTGCGAAATTTTTTTAATAGTGCCATGAGAAAATCCGAGTGGTGCCGCAACTTCCTTCCATCCATCCATGAAATGACTCTCTGACAAGACTGTCTCATCTGCTTTTTCTAGAAAGTTGAGATTCGAATGAGGAATTAGTTCTTTCCACTCGTCGCACTAAGATCCAGCGAGACGAGTCTAATTAAAAACGGTGAATATCACTTATTTTACTTTTAAAATAGCGAAAATTCGATTTCACTTTTCCTTTACATTAATTGAATAAAAATGCAAATAAATTGCTTGTTCTAGATGTTGAGATTCGATTGGGTTGTCGAGGAATTAGATCTTTCCACCTTTTGCCGAGAATATCGCTTATAACTCTTGTATTCTTCTTCTAAAAACATTCAACATTTCTGATTTAATTGGCTTAACCAACCGATCATTAGAATCAAATCATTTCGCCTAAAAAATTTCATATTATATTAAAACCAGCTGAAACTTTTTGGTCTGAAAAGTCTTTTGTCTTTGGTTTGATTTTTCAAACTGTATTATTATGCCATTTTTAAAATTTTTGTGTGGAAAGCAAAGTAAAAACCTTTCAGACTTTTTTTTAGGATCTTATTTTCCTAATAGCCCGCATTTTTACTCATTAGCCACCATTTGCTATAAGGTTTCTAAGCTATTTGATCCAATGCCATACCTGAAGGTAATTCAGTCCTTTTTTCATCGTATCAGGCCTATGTTTCACTGGGTTGCTCCAAAAGTTCTTCTGATTGATTCAATCTAAAGAAAAATGCGAAAGAAACGAAAAAAAACGACAAAGTTGCTAGGCCGTTAAACAGAGGAAATAGAATTATGAAAATTAGTTGACAACTAAAGGAGCGACAAATTTCGCAGTGAATTGAGTAAAAATGCAACGCATTTTAAGTATTCCGTTTCCCTAAGGGGCTTTTTTCCATATTAAGTGATCGTTGGCAATTTATCTTCAATTTACACAATGCCTCGAATGTTCATGGTGGCTAATTGCTAATAAAATTCAAATAATTTTATAAAATTAAAGGAAAATTTAGTGATCAAAACAGCATTTTGCATAAAAATTCATTCGTTTCTTAATTCTTTTCTTTAATTATTTTTTGGACGATTCATTTTTAAAATCTTATTTATTTCTTTTATATTATTTATTGTAAATTTTTTTCAGTTTAATCAACTTTATTCGAATAGAATTTATTAGAATTATGCACATCTAAATCAGAATTGAAAAATATTTTTGAAAATTGCTAAATTTACGTTGAAGTAAGTAGATAAGTATGTATGTAAATGACAGGTTTAATTCTGTGGAAGCTGAACTCTGGCCTCCCAACATCCACTTTTTTCCTTCCTCAAGGTGATATGATCAGTAAGGCTTGCATATTCGCTCATAAGATATTCGCATATAGGTATATGATAGTCGGATCGCTGAAGGATTTGTGGCCTCACATGCACTTGCTCTTCATTCAGTTTCTTCAAAATAAGTCTTCAGACCATACCAGCATTAATTTCCCTCATGATCTAATTATTTATTTTCTTTTAAGCTTTTTTGGAATGTGATTGTTTGGTAAACTTTGGTGAATTTCATCTTCGCTTTGGACCATTTTTATTGTTGATATATTTTCCAACTTTATTTAGTTGAATCCTTGAATTTTCTTTCTCTATTCTTCTATTTTTATTTCATTTTTTATTGCACAAATCTATTTTTTCAATAGTAAAAATTTTTTCAAAAATTTCCATTCTTTTTGACTCTCTGAATTTTCCATGCAATATTATCTCATTTCTTCCTTCTTTTTTTCCTGTTTTATCAGGCTTGAAACTATTCGTTTCTCTTTTCCTTTTGCATTTCGCCGTCGAATATCTCGAATAATTTCCACTTTTTTCTTTTCTTTTTATAGTTTCTTTATAGACTACGTTGATTTATTATTCGTAATATTATTATAATATAAAGAAATATAAAACTACAGAGAATTCATATGATTGAATACGTTGAATGAAATAAGTAATGTTCTTCTGCGTCTTACAGTTAAAATTCTTGTTGCTTTGAGATAGAAGTAGGTCCCTCGACCATTCGTATTTTTCAATAACGAAGTTCGAATCTTTGGTTCTCGATATAATCTAAATAATCTCGATATTTGGCTATCCTCGATTGGTTATAAATAATTTACAATGGACGAAAATCACCTATGTTGCATAGAACCAACTATTTAATGCGCCACTGTACTAGGGTGAACTTATCAAAGATTCAGGGCTTTTTGTGAATGCACCTTTATTTCCATCTCTAAGAATTAATTGGCAAAAAATTGCCAATGGATCGAGATGAAAAAATGAACCACTTATCTGAGAAATAATAATATTACTTATCTATCGTCATTTTTTGCTTAGCAATCATTCTCATAATTTTGATATTTTACAATAATTATGAGATTTTTATTGCAAAAAATAGCAAAAAAATCTGAAAAGACTTCTGAGGTGTCCATTATTCATTAATTAGTGATACTATTTATCAATTATTATATTTTTTGGTAGCTTAATAATCCAGAAAAAGTTAATTATGTTTTAAAGTTGCTATTCTAAATTGTATATAATCGGCGTGCTATTTTTTTGCGATATTTTATATTTATATCAAAATTCTTTACTTGTATATTTATATAATTTATATTTATAGATTTATGAATTTTTATCGAAATTTTATAAAAATTTTATAGAAAGTGTAGAAAGTGTACGAGAAAAATGTTATGAACACCAATCTGAAGATTTTTTTTAAAAAAACGTATTTTGATTGAAAATACATTTCTAGAGAATAAATTTCGGTTGAAAAAAATGAAAATCACCGAAATTTTTATTTTACAAACAAAAATTCGTAAATTGCGAAATTTATATGTAAAACCTATATTTCCTAAAGTTATATTGCCTGAGCTGTCAGGAAAAAATTAGGAATAAAAATGAACGCTTCTTTAAGGATATAAGTAGGATGATTCGTTGACTGGCTCATTCAGTTAACCATACTTATTGACCATAGCGAGGAATAACTTATTCACCATGCCTGTCAACCACAGCTTATAAATCCTACGAATTCAGCTGTTAATTCTTCTTATGAACTATAATATAATATTAAATGTCATTTGTTTATAATTATCAGTTATATCAACTATCAGGCATAAAATGTTTTCTATTATTTCAGGCATAAAATTATCTTCAATGGCAAATCTCCTATCTGAAAGAAATAATAATGAATTATGTGGGTTTTCACCACTCAGAAAAACTATTACATGCTCAGTTTTCCAAGTTTTGCTGACATTATTCATTAGGTGAATCTTTGAAAATTTCCCATTATTCACTGAACTTACTCAAACTTATTCAAGAATATAAAAAATAATAAACAAATTAGAAGGAAAATATTTATTTACTATTTGGGTTGTTCTATCCTTTCTTCCTTTGTTCTAATGCCCCACTCCGCATTTCGGGTTTAGCTGGCTGTTAGGAATAAGGTTAGATCATCAAAGAGTCATACTTGTGAATAGCCATAGAGGTGTTAAGTTTACTGGTTTATTCTATCAAAAGTCATGAAAAATCATTTATTCTTTCGACAAAGATCATGAACAGAACTTGCGGTGCTTGAACTCAGTCGTTGCAAAATTATCATCAACTTATCTCCAAGAACAAAAAAATGACCTTTATTATTCGCAAATTTCTTTTGGTAATTTTGGAATATTGTAATTTGGAATTTAATATTATCATAATTTATAATACCGTAAAAGAATATTTATAATTATTTTAACCAAACTTCTATTAAAGAATATTTTTTTTAGCATTTATATGAATTTGTCAGAAAATCGAGTGGCAATAATTATAATTCTAACGGCAATAAATTTATTTTCAAGTATAATCGCATTAATATTTATAGTGTTTTGTATTATTGGACGAAAAATTGGTGCCGCATACGATTTGTTGCTTCATTCTTATCTACTTAGTATAGTACGACTATTTATAATTTAAATTATCAAATAGAACGGCCTAAATTATGAGTTTGACCGCGTCCATGCTAGTAAGTTTATTTAGTAAGTTTATTTGGCCCAAGCTATATGAGTTTGACCGCGTTCATGCTAGTAAGTTTATTTTTTAAATTAATATCAAAAATTTTTTTTCTAATTTCTTCAAAAATAAATTAAAAATATATATCACTGAAACTTTACAATCTAAAAATTATTTTTCTCATAAAACTATATTTACGTACCAACTCAATGAACGTTATCAATACAGAGAATGAAAATTGTAATTTGAATTAAAAATTTCAATTTTGACTAAAAAATTCTTTTAGAGTTTGGATTAATTGCATTTTTTTTGGTATAACTTACTGTAGAATTTTATCGTCCATTGGGGATTGCACTTTGATTAAAATATGTAAGATAAAATATAAGAACAAAAAGCCAACATTTTAAATGGCAAGTTTATTCTCATAAGAATGTGCAAACTTGATAAATCCTATGACACCAAAAAAAAATTTCAAACATAGCAGTGAGAAAAATTTATTGACGATGCATAAAAAATGAAAAAAGAAATAGAAAATGAGAAAATATTTGAAGCCTGTGGCTGTAATGTGTGGAATAGCACTGACTTATAAGATGGTTAAATGAAGATTGACCAACATTCTTGTGGTACTAGTTAGTTAAAGCTTTAAAGCCGAAATCTTCTAATAGAGCTATACAGAGGCTCATAACTGGGACTTTTCAGTCAACATATGGATAACACCACCTAGTAATCCTGGCTCTAATTTTTCCTTTCATTCGTCTGTCATTTCGTCACCAGTAATTTACTATATATTATAACCATTCTGCATCTATAATTTTCTAAACTTTTCCTTTGTATATCCTTGTTTATCCTTTGTATAGGTATGGCTTATCCTTCTAAATTTATCGCTTTATCAATCAAGTATTTATCCTTAATTACTTAAAATTTATTATTAAAATTCAAAATATTTTTTTCTGATTAAATTTTGGAAAATTTCAGTTAATATTAGCGCTAACGAGTCTATTCGAAATTCTTTATTTTCCATTATCATTGATGCAAAAAATCAATTCGTGGTGCTTTTCATCAATTGTGCATACAATTATTTTAACAATTATCAGCGCTATCACACTGCTTTATCAATTTTTTCACCGAAGTATTCTCGAACAAATGTTATCATATATGGAAATTAATTTTAAATAGTAATTCACCAATTTCACGAACAAATTTTACGCTTATTTTATAATAATTAAATAACATTAATAAGTATTTAAAATTTTTTATTATATAAATTTCTTTTTTATATAAACAATTTTTCACAAATTTATGTAAATAATTAATTAAAATAAATAAATTAAAGTAACAAACTGAACAAAAATAATATATAAATATTTTTATGATTATGATAAATTAATTTTTTATAACTATAAAGGCATAAAAAAGAAAAAAATTCAAAAAAAAGGAAAATGGTTGAGTGGAGTCAGACGTCGCTTCGACTGAAAACAAGCAATACGGGTCCAGTTACTATCTACTGATGGGGAAAAACTTTCCGCTGAAAGTGAAATGTGAGTGATAATGGGTACTCATAGGTATCTCCATTCCTAAATGATTCTATTCCTAAAGGTAAAGGCAATAATCTTGAGTGGAAACAACCAAACCAAAAGTGGTGCACTTTCTTAAAAATAAATATTGTAGGGTCAGATATTCTATAGCACACAGATAGATGATTTCTTTCCCTGTTAGAAACGCCTCAATATCCATATAATAAAAGATACCAAAGAAAAGTACCCTGTATGCACCGGTCTCGGTGACTGCTCTAGCCAATGTGGGCAAACCAACGCTGCGGAGCGGTTTTGCTATAAATATGCATACCCGGGAGACGTATACTATTTTCGTTGTTGCTGGGACGTCACGATAAAAATTTAGTGATCGGTTCGTGCGGCATGTCGCGCTCGCGTTCTCGACATAAGGAAAGAGTTTCCCGAGCTAAAAAATGTGTTGAAACAGATAAAATAATGTAAATATGCTTCAACTTTAAAATTCTATAATTTTTAGGTTAACTTACAAATTACTGTTTTTGAGAATTATCTTTCTTTTTACTTCAAATTAAACTCGAATTGTTTTTTAAAATACTGTAATTTATCGCAATTTAAAAATGAATAAATGTTTGTAAATTGCCGCTTAATCGCTCGTAAATCGCTCAGTTCATTGAACCTCACATCGAGTCGGAACATCGCGAGTTCTTCTGGCCACTTTGACAGGATTAAACTCCATCATTAAGAACGGAATCCGAGTGGTACTGTGGGTTGATTTACATACTGAATTCATTTACATATTTTACATATTTGAATACTTCTCGACTCTGCGGTGTCTCATCGACTTTTCCACATTCAAACATAAACAAAGTTAAACTCGCATATAGATTATCGCCTTGTGATTTGGATCCCACCTTCGATAGAAAAAATTAGAAAACCAGGTCAACCTACCTGCACTTCTCTCGCCAAATGATTCCACACCATAATGCAAATGAAAATCCCATAATGAAAAATTTCTCATTGTGCTAACAAACAAAGTCAGAAATAGTAGACACTAAAATAATTCTACAAAAACTATAAATAGACCGCTGGAGACCTGCTACTTGCTTGTTTTTCTACTCCTGTAAATCGGTAGTTGGGGCAACTATGTACTCTCAAAGGGAGACTGCATTTTATAAATCACGGCACTTTATCATTAAAGAAACAAATTTATTAATAGAATCGTTTCTTCGTCCAGGCCGTGTTCACCAGAGTAGGTCCAAGCAGCGTCCAGGCCGTGTTCACCAGAGTAGGTCCAAGCAGCGTCCAGGGCTCACTCGTTCAAAATAAGCCCAAATAATATCTCTCAATGACCAATTCTTCAAATTACCTTCGACAAGACCACAAATTTAAAACTTACGCTAAATAAATTTTTCAATCGAAAATGAAGTAGCGGAAAAACGGATGCATTAGAGCTCCTAAAAAGCAATCGAGCTGCATCGTTTATTTTTGTCTTGGAAATTACAGACTGAATAATTGGCTCTTTGCCAAATTTGCTTCTGAAGTCGATTAAATTTTTTGGAAATTATCGTAATCGCTTTCATTTACTTTTTGCGTAAACTGAACTTAGAAAATTTCTCGGATGGGAAGGAATTTCCATTAGAAATTTCGCAATGCTCGGCTTTTTAAGATATTTTTATTCATTTATATTTATATATTTAAAACTTTTTGAATTAAAATTTTTAAAAAAAATTGGAATATTTTAATATTTAAAAGTACGCAGAATTATAAATTTTTGTTTTTTTCTCTGTTTTTATGCATTTGCATATTATTTTTCTCTATTTTTAACTGTAAAAATTTAGAAAATCGACGAAACTTCGAATAAAATTTTAAATTTGAAATTTGAAAAATTTTGGCCCTAAAACTCCAAAATTTCTGTTTTTGCTTAAAATATTCCTAAAATAAGTTTTAAAATTTCAAAACGACAGTTTAAATACTTAAAATGCATTTTAAAAGTAATATTCCTATAAATTTCTTCTTTATAATTCGTTTGCGCGTTTGTTTGTCCACTCTTTCTTTTTTTGCTCGCATTTTGCTTCTTTGTCCCTCGTTTTTACCCATCTTTACGCCGTCTATCTCTCTGCACTCTCTCCATGTCTCTATATCTTCTTGAATAATAAGCCACTGTGGATCAGACAGTGGAGGGGCTGTTATGTTGTTTTAAACTTCATTTCAACAGTGGCGCAGTATTTAAATAAACTCTGTGATGGGTGGCGTCAAAAGCGAGGTGAGCCAATCAAAACGTGAGCTGATACAATCAGGAAAGATTTTGAACGTATAGGTGAATTAGCGTTATATGTAGGGATTTAGACAAGAATGGCATCTAAAAGTGTCGACAATAATGTCTGAACGAACAACTTGGAGATATTTTACGCTTGTGGCCAGTAGAATTAGCCCAACTTAGAAATGATAAGAGTTTCTAGAAAAAAAAAGAATAGAATGATTCTCTATTGTGATTTAGCTAAATTTAGGCATTAAATTTTCGATTATTTCCTATTAATTGATATTTGAAAGGATTTGATATGCGGAAAAACAATCCGATTTTCTTCGTGTCAGAATTTTAATTGAAATGAAAGTAAAAATAAAATAAATAAAAATAAATTAAGATTTACCCTTAAATTATCGATAAAAACGAGTTAAATGCTATATTTTATCAGTAAAATGTATCGCAACCTGATTCGATATAATCAAAACAAAAGGATAATATTCAAATACTAGTGGGTCAAACATTTAAGATTTTGATGATAGAAAAAAAATGTTGCAAATGTTAACTTTGAAATGGTCTCATCATATAGTCTCCGTCTCCTATTTTTTTCTATTTTTTTCTGTTTGTTGATTCGTACTGATATATACTAGATTTTTTTCTAAGCCCATCATTTCTAATTAGATTTGCTCTGCTGGATTTTCGAATCTCAACAATCTGAACTAATTTTTTTTTCTGCAAGGCGATAAAAATAAAGGTGAATGGCCAGTATCACTTGATACTAAATATTGTAATAAATAAATAATTATGGTTAGCGTTTATCATTTCCATTTAGGTTATCTCCTGTAGTCATTAATACGGTTAGAAATTTTTGCCAGGGGGGTGGAGTCAGTTTTTGATGATAACCTTCTAGCATTATCCGGATTTTTCTATGATAGATTTAAGTAAGTGGATGAGGCCGAATCCTTGTTTTCTTTTAATTCGAGTCATTGAGCTATTGTGCCACATTATGAAATATAATTAGTTGTACATCTGTGCATTTTACTTTTGCACATTTTTGTATATTTCAAATCTTTATTTATTTTGTAGTGAAAATAAGATTAGTAATAATAAAGATTAGTAATAGAAAGTAATACATTCACTGCAATTCTCTTGAGGAAATCGCCAGTTTTGTTTCGTCATTTCATATGTAATCAACAAACTTTTTAGTACCTTACTCTTACTTTGTTTTTTAATTAATTACTTGATTTGATCCAGGAAAATGAACATTTTTAGTAAATTCGATTCAAACAATGTCGAATGAAAATTCAAAAGATTTTTATTTACGATACTATGTTGGGCATAAAGGAAAATTTGGCCACGAATTTCTTGAATTCGAATTTCGTCCAGACGGAAAAATGCGTTATGCAAATAACAGTCAATACAAAAATGATACTCTTATTCGGAAAGAAGCATGTGTGAGCAAAATTGTGCTCGATGAATTAAAGCGGATTATTGATGATTCTGAAATTATGCAAGTTAGCTTTTTTGATTTTCTTTTAGAAATTCAAGGATTCTCCAATTTTTTTAAAAATAATTTTTGTTTTTTGAAAATTCATCAAAAAATATTTGATTTTTTGCTTTTAATTTGTTTTGTAGAAAACTTCATGAAATTCTAGGAAGATGACGCAACATGGCCAGAACCTGATCGGATTGGACGTCAAGAACTTGAAATACTCCGCAATAAAGAACATATTTCGTTCTTAACTGGGTAGGTGACCTAAATTTTTAAACCTAAATTTAATCCTTCATTATTTCTTGGTTACGAAACTTATTACTTTCCAGTAAAATTGGATCTGCTGCGGACGTAAATAAAAGCAACGACCCCGAGGGCTTACGCTCCTTTTACTATCTGGTCCAGGATCTCAAATGTCTCGTATTTTCCTTAATTGGAATGCATTTCAAGATCAAACCAATTTAAATCTACCCGACTTTTCATAAATTTTACTGTTCTCTTTATCTTTCTTTGTTATTAAAGTTAAATTAAATTTTTTAATTGTCAAAATATGTTTTTTTTGACAGCTTTTTTTTATCAGAAATAGATATTCCAACAAGAAAAACAAAAAGAATCGAATATCTATTTTCAATAAATACATTAAGGTAAGAATAGATGCGGAAAACAGCAGCAGAGTGTATTGACAAAATGATTCAACAGAAAAATGATATAGACAAAATTGAAATCACACGAAAGATTTATTTAGTTACAAACAAAAAATGATCAAAATAAATATTAAAAAAAAAATGGAAATAATTTACAGTATTTAGTGGAAAAAGTAAGTATTGTTTATTAGCTCCAATTTTATATATGAAAATTCACCTTCAAATGAGTGAAGAACCTGCTGAATTTTGCTTGAATCCGTTTTTATTATAATGATAAATCCTTATTGGCAATAATATTTATTTCATGACAATATAATAAAAATGGTATCAATTGCGCTATTGATATTAAAACATTAACTGCATTCGTTAACTGTAAAATAAAAAATTATAGGTTTGAATCAACAAGCAGACTCATAAAGAATTCCATTCTGTAAATAGATTATTCATGAAACGATTATTAAAGAGAAGGCTAGCAAAATTTAAAATAAAAATACCCATATATGATAATCATCGATAATTATCCCATAAAAAAGCCATTCTAAAGAAACAAAAAAGTTTGCGGAACACAAAGGTAATGGCAGATTTGCTGTACTTCTTGAACGATATACATCTCGCTTAAATAGTATTATATTTTAATATGAAGGAAAAATAAATGGTACAAAAATATTTTAAAAAACTGAAGATTTAAAGAGTTCTTTAATTTATAAAACTGTTAAAACTATTGAAATTTTTTAAGTTCCAGTCGACCTTATGTGATTGTCACGTTTAAATATTTCGAGAAAATTATGTAAGAAAAAAAGTAAAACCTTAAAACCTTACAAGCGCCAATAATGGTGCGCCGACATTTACCATATTGAATATCATACAAATAAATCCGAAATTATTTGCAGCGTTAGTGATTGGTTCAACGGAATTTGTGAAGTATAAATGGATGGCAACAATGGAAACTATTTCGATGAAAATTAATCGCGACTGCTGATACTGAAATATGATAAATAAAAAAAAAAAAAATTCTAAGATGAAAAGATTTCTAAGATTTCTAAGATGAAACCGAAGAATTTTTGCTTACTGATTTCCGCCTCGATTTAACGTTTCTAGTGAACAACAACAACTAATGAATGAAACTTTACTATTTCTGCCTATTGTAGTAACATTAATTAATAATTAATTAATAATTTACAAAAATGCCTGAAAATAAGATAAGATAAGAAAAAACCTTTTGATAGCATTTCAAATAGTAATAAAAAATGTAAAAACCATATAAAAATGAAGAGACTACGTTGACTGCGATGATAGTCTAAAAATTTTAAAAGACTAGCGAAAATAAGATTTTCAAATCATCTTATTACAATAAAAATGAAGTGGAAAATCTAACTGAGAAAACATAATCTGTAAAGAAATCGAATTAAAACGAAAAATAAAGAACATTTCGTTGCCAAAATTAATTTGTGACACTTATCGCCCAATTTAGTCTATTTTAATCGATTTGATCTTAAAAAAGAATTCATTGGCAGACCGAAAAATAAATCAGAATCTCCTGGTACAGTACCTTCAATCAAGTCAATCTCATTCCATCTTTATGTAAAAATTTCTAATATCGAAAATCCTACAGTTGTCATCAGCTAAGCCTTTCTTGAATTTTTTATATCAGCTAGAATAAAAAAAATTTCTGAAAATGCTCGTAGATTTCAACATAAACATAATGTCTCAATATAAAATTACACTGTCTTTATACTCCGAAATAATAAATGATATAATATATATATATATATTGAATAATAAATAACATTCAATAATAATAATTAAAATACCTTGTCATTTTTGAGAATTCCATATTGTAACCAAAAACTTCCCGAAATAAAACCTAAATGAAACGGTGCTGAACTGATCCCATCAGTAGTTCCTTTACGCTGCAAGACAAAAAAAAAGAAATTAAAAATTAAAACAATTTTTCCAAAATCAAAAAAAAAAGTATTTTTCGGTCGATCGACATCATATTTTAGTGTTAAAAAAAAGAAAGATAAATATGCAGAATAATACGACAGAATAATGATGAAATAGATGGAAAAGGATTCATAATTGGCGATGCCCATACAACCGAAAAGTAAAATATGTTTTAAAATAAAAACGAAACGGAACCAAGTTATATTAATGTAATATAAATTTATATAATATTTATATAATTTATATAATATTAATGTAATATAAATATTATTTATATAAATTGATATAACAACATAAATTTTGCATTATATTAGCGAAAAGTACCGCAAAAACCAACTTTTATTCGCCAGCAAATTTCAAACCCCGTAAGAAATAAACAGATCGTCGACAATGTAGTTACTACTGAAAAAAATGACAAAAATTTATCTGAAACCATTATCGAAAAGATTTTACCAGTTGCTTAAATTCAGTTTGAGTTCATTTGTTTCTTACCTGAAATACCTTTATTTAAATGAAAATTGACTTCAAAAAAAGATTAAATTAAATTATTTTGAATTTACATAGAGCGAATTATTTTTAAATAAATTAAAATAATAAAAATAAAAAGAAAATTGATTAATTGAATAATCTTTCTTCATTTTCCTTTATCATCATTTTTATCTCTGATAACTCGCGAAATGGTGTAGAGATTGCCATGTCTGAAAAGATTTGATCCGCTCTAATTGAATGGAAGCCAGTAAATGGAAGACCGTATGGCCTAGATCTTTCAAAGGAGAATTCTGAGAAAATTCTTTTATTTCGATTATCATTACACTGATAAGTTCAAAGATAAGTTCAACTTTATACGCAGATGGCCGCGATAAAGATAAGTTCAAATTGCGGAACTTCAACTGTTCAACAACATCCCTACCGAGAAATGACATGGTCTTGATCGGAGGAGAATGGAATGCACGCGTAGGTCATTACGATGAATTCGATAAATGGCAAATATGGCACCGGGGTCCAGTGAGCCAATGGAGAATGCTTTCTTCATTTTGTCGAAGAGCATGAATTCTTTTCTTTCGGTATCAGAAGAAGTATCTAGTCACGTGCAACTCTCTGGCCAACCAATATTCCAATCAGATTGACTTATATTGGTCATCGCTGGAAGATCTAAAGATCTGAAGATCTGTACTTTCAGCTACTTCCAAATAGTCATTCCGTTCTTATCAGGACGCTAAAACGTGTAATCATCATGGATAAGATTATGTTATTGGTTCGAGTCAAGATTCATATAAAATTGAAAAGTCGTAAGAAACAGCGTGTCACGAAATATTTCAACTATGAAACTAAAAGATCGAAAACAATAAACATATTTCAAAGCGCATTATCGAAACAGCTCAGTGAAATGAATGTTGAATGTCATTGACATCTCTGGAAAGGCGAATGAATAATGTTCCCAACTAAAGACATGCCTACAAATGTCAGCCACTTCCACATTAGGGTATGCTAGTAGGAAGTGCGCTAGTGGGTGTAGGAAGTCGGAAAGTTTGAAAAGACTGCCAACGCACAAATATCAGGAGATTCCGACTATTGGATGCTTCGAAGAATTACAACGGCAGCATCATAGCGAGACAGAAATAGCTATTGGAACTATATGGTCTTACGAATGGAGACGGCGGCTCGTATAAGTGATTATAAGAAACTGTTTCACCTTTTTCACAAAGCAATTATAACTCGAAAAAGGGTCTGTGAAATAAAATTGAAATGATACGGGATATTAATGTCGCCTCAGAAGACGGAAAGAATTTTTTGAGGCCAAATTTAACCATGATGCGCCATCTGTTATCCCGAATATAACTAATTCGTCGGGCCTGACGTTTGCAATTGTGAACCGTCAAGAAAAGAGGAAAGAAAGAGGATAAGAGATTATTTCCTCTTTAATCTCTGTATTCTATTAGCTTAAGGCCAATAAAACTCCCGGAGAAGATGGTCTTCGGGCCGAACTATTCAAATGTTCATCTTCGTCCACAACTCACCTTCAAAACTGTATTCTCTGATATGATAAAAGGAAAAACAAAAGGAAATAATATAAGAAGACTGGAGCAAAGCAATTCTCCTTCCAATTCCTAGAAGAAAAATGACAGGACGTACTGCGACAATTATCAGGAATCAGATGTCTCAGCGAAAATTTTTGCTTCTCTTCCACTCAATAGACTTATGGCAGTACGAGGCGGCAGGATACGCCCTAAGCAGGCAGGATTCAGACCAGCATGCCGTTATGCTGACCAGATATTTAAGATATTTATGTTAAGAAGGGTGCTAGAACATCGCTTCAAATACCAGCAACCCACTTGCTTTATCGATTTTGCAGCTGCCTTCGATTCGATTGATAGAGCAACGCCCAGAAAAGTGATGGAATGTGATGCTCTCCCAGAGAAGACCATCCGGCCCATAAAGGCATTTTACCAGCAAATCTTGGCACAGATCTGTGTTCATGGGGAACTGACAGACCCTTATGAAATAAAAACTGGGATCCACCAAGAATGCCCCTACAATATTCAACCGTGCTATAAAATGAATAATGGGCATCGCTTGTTGGCACTCAAGAAATGTACAAATTAGTCCAGAGTATAGCATTACAGCATTACAGAATACGTTGATATAGTCCTTTTTGCTGACAGTTAAATGAAATATAGATAATGTTAAACAATACGTTAATAAATGCAGCAAATAAATTGGACTCAAAATCAATGTAAATAAATACAATGTAAATATAAATAAAACGAAAATGTTTTCGTTTTATTTTCGTTTTATTTATATTTTATATACAAGATGCTGATAAAATACCTATTTTTATCATTTCATTGCTGGCTGATGAACTGCTTGACTTTAAATACCTTGGATCCACTCTAATCTAAAGTAGCCAGGCAAAGGATGAAACTACCCGGATAACGACAGCTAGAAATGTGTTTTCCGGTTGATGAAACCTCCATGGAGCCGTCGCGAAAACATCATGAAGACGAAGATCCACGACCATATAGACAATTCGCTCGATCTTGCTATATGGTTGCGAAACATGGCGATATCAGCCTCTGACCACTCATGTCTAAGAAATATTTTACGCATCTATCGAATAGACTGCACATGACTGTGTCCGTCTTTGCTCAAATACCACCTGTATAACGTTATCACAGAACTTGGCCTTCGGTGGTTAAGATACATCGTCCACCAAAGGAGTTGACGCATATTTCGCTACTTGCCGAACCCTGTGATAGTTGGAATCAAAAGTGAGGAGGGCCAATCAAGACCTGGACTGATACAGAAAGATTTTGAACGCATAGGAGGACCCGACGATATATGGACTCAGATGATGGGAAAAGGAATGGCTTCTATTACTACTAGCGATGGCGTCGGACCGAGCAGCTTGGAGATGTCTTACCTTTGTAGCCAGCCTAACCAGTAATAGTGAAAGCTGTTAGAAGAAAAAGAAGAAAGGAGATAGTGGCAGAGATAGTTCTGCTCATATATAGTGGTAAAAATAGCCAATTGTGGCTAGTTTTTCTATTTTGTTCACTGGAACAGTTTAACCATTTTAGCCATTCCATGTCTAAGTAAAATTAATATTTAAGTGAGGAATTGACATAAAGCCAGTAAGCACAATCTTACTTCTTTCATCGTAATTATTTTTCTACTATAATTAAATATTATAATTATAATTAATTATAAATATATTAATAAATTAATTATTAATTATTAATATAATTAATATAAATTAGTTATATATAAATAATTATAATTAAATATTAATTTTTATTATTTTACTGTCGATAATGGCTTATATTATCGTTTTCAGGGATATAGGTTCGCCTCTTGCCCACCACTGGAGGTTCGAGAGGTGAGTGGTGACATATATTTTGTATTGATACGCCAAGTGACTTCAAAAAGAGCAAAATAATAGAAACTATTATGTGCAAAACTAAGGAAAAATAGGCAAAACTATAATGAAAACATTACTAACCAGACAAGACTGACCTCGGTCGACTAAAAACACGAGAATTTTCGACTTGGGATGTACTACGACGACGACCGCAAAACGGTGGTTTGCAACTGTGAAACCACTGCCTTTATTTATTTATTATTTATTTAATTATTTATTTACATGTATGTTTCTGATATTTCTTAGAGATAGACTCTATAACTCTCGCCGACTCTGTAACTATGATTTTCACAGTGATTTATTTTCCTACTGAAATAAAGGTTTAATTACCTATGTTGGAGTTTAAACCAAATGACGACGGAAAAGATTCATAAAATGAACGAATAATAATTTTTCCACAAATGCTTAGCAAAAATTTCTTATCGTACTAACAGCCAGCTAAGCTGGCTTAATCGGAAATAATAAGCGCTCACCACTTACTTACTTACTTACTAAATAACTAAATCGATCAATAGTTCATAAGAAAATATCGAAAAATTTGAAAAAAAGGCGATACTTTATATAAAAAAGTCAATTTCTGTGATGGACTGCAAGGCCTATAGCTTTACTAGTCAAGGCAAAGTTCCTAATAAAGGTGGTATTCGAGCAAAGATAATCATCTGAAACTCCATTCAATTTGGCAGATGCGAAGAAAATACTTTAGGCAAGAATAGTCAAGGACAGATAGTTTCTTGATATTTTCCACTCGCATTGGCAATGTTCCGTAGCCCATATAATAGGATTATATGATTATGATAGTCAGCCAGAAAGAAGAGAAATTTCGTTGAGGCTGATTTTGCAGTGACTTCACCAGAAAAAAGAATGAATCTCTAGTAACTCCTCAAGAAGGAATTTCATCTTTTGTGTGGCCATTCGGTGTGAGAGTGGATTTGGGATATTTGAGGTCTGTCAATTTTTAACGTTGATAAATTTGTAGAAACTGCGGTCTTGCTGGCGTCTAGTATATAAGATGAAAATAATTTCACCTTATTTACAGATTTTAAGGCGAATTTTCGCTGTCGCTTTCGGTTGTCACCGTTCCTCGCCAGCGAAAGGGACAACATCAGCGTATTCAAGGCACTAGACAGTATACCTGGGTTGGCTCTCTTCTATATACTTCTTTGTATTGTATTCTACCTCTGGAGTACGGCGAACATTGTCAATTTATAGCGTATTTGAATGCACACCAGT